GCAAGGTGCAAGGTGCAAGTGCAAGTGCAAGTGTGATATATGACACACAATATGTAACAATGCCAGACACACATATGCAAACAATGAGGTGCAAATGACCACACATGATAGTGAACCACGCTCGTACTAACGACCTCACCCAGGAAACCTAAGGTTTAGACCCTTGGAAATGCGGCATCGCCGCCTCTTGTTTTGGTAAGGAAATGTGGGGAGTTTCTCCCCGGATCTCCAAGGTGAAACTCTCCACGGTGTTGCGAAATGTGCTAGCTACAAAGCTTTTTCCATTTTGCGAACTCCTCAAGACTTTTTAAAGCGAGCCAGCTACAAAGCTTCGCGCGCTTTGCCAAGTCCGACTTCCCAACTTCTCCAAGTAAAACTTGGAAAAACCAAAGCAAGAGGAGTGAGGGACTCCGACCCCTCGGGACTTGTGCTAAGGCTCACAACAAAAGGGAGACACTCGGCTATACAGAGGGTGTTTAGTTACGCACAGGAAGTCCTAATCTAAAGGTTAGCTCTAGGAAATCGACGATTCATCACGCAGGCACGTCGTCGCGCCGACCCATGCCGGCGCACGCACCCCGTGTGGGCGATCGAACCCACACGCCTAGACACCACTAAACCTAAGGCTAGCTAGAAGTTTAGGGGATCCGACGTCTAGTCCGTGCTCCAGTGCATCCCACAATGAATCATGCAACGAGGAGAATAAAAGATAGGAAGCAGTGAGGTAGAGTATCCAAAAATAATAATTTTGGCATATAGAAATATAACCAAAATATACCTTCGAGTGGCGCTCGACGGCGGTGAAAGAGGGAGTTTTCCTCGCAAAGGAAGAGACGCTTGCACCTCCTCAAACAGCTGCAACGCTTGCTATTTGGCGACGTCAAAGTGCTTCGACGAAGATTTCGGTCGTCGGGAAGGTAGGACGGCGAGATCGAGGACTTAGTTCGAGTGCGAAAGAAATGCGGAGGACAACCCAAAATCCGACGTTCTGCTCGCTGTTTTTCTCCGGCGTAGATACGACGTCGACGAGGCAAAAAAAGGTCTGTGAGGAAAAGGTCCGACAACAAAAGAGAGAATAAATCGACAAGGGAGGCGCTCCAGCGGAGGAGGACACTCCCGATCTGGCCGGCTGGAGGCACGGACGACCGAGGAGGAGGAGGAATGGCCAAAGGGAGAGGGAACTCCAACTTCCCCTTCGCGAAATACGGCAAAAGGAGGCTGCCCGAATGGTGAGGAAGGCTGGAGAGGCTGCGCCGGCGGGTGGAATAAGGTCCGATGACGGGCTTCGCCGGCGATAGGGCTGTAAACGAGCCGAGCTTGAGCGAGCTCAGGCTTGGCTCGTGTTCGGCTCGTTCGAAATAGCTCGTGTTCGAAATCGGCTCCGGGACAAAGTGTTTAATTTTTGCTCCGGTTTAA